CAAAGTTAAACTCAGCATCAGAGTGACATGACTGCAGTTGTTGTAAGAGGGAATAAAATGCCACAGATTTGTCACCTTCATATCTCCAGCACCAGAAAGGAGTAACAGTTCAAGGACACAAATATTTACTGCCATCATGAGCTATATATCTGTTTACCCTGCCTGAAATATCAGCTGTTTCATTCAGCCAAGAAAGCCTGGAAACTTTAACTAGAAGAAGAAAAACAAGGCTATTTTGCTATTCTGAAGCCAGTTAGGCTTTGCTAGTGATGGGTCATAAAATACTTTCACTTTTCCTCTGTTTCTAAACGCTGGCTTTAAACTATTTCTTTTTGGGAGTTTGGAGTTACTAAACTAAATACTGCAAATGGAGAGGCTGCAGCCTATGCAGAATAAATGATTTAAGAACCGGGCTTGGCTGATTTATTTTTTCCTCTGTACTGGAGATAAAAAGAAGGAACACATTCTAGTAAACCCTACTCATTTTCACAGCCATTCTTGCACCTGTAACTCAAATAATGAAGCCATTTGTTATTTATATTGCACTTTCCCCTACATTCTAGATTTCTAACGATCTGACCCTGCTTTATGGCCCTGACAAAGCCTGAAACCGGTGTGGACTTCCAATAATTGAACGATATAAGGAAAAATCTTTAACTGGAATGAAGCAGATGTTAGCTTCATGCAGTTCCCTAACTTGATTATTCTTTGGCCACGTTAGACAAGCATTAGTGATTGATAATGATGCTAATTAACCCCTTTCCTTTCCAAAACAGTAAACCAACGCCAGCAGGATTCTGCAAACAACACACACAAAGTGTGTACCAGTATCTGTTCAAAGTGGATCAGGGACACAACTTCATTGCCTGGTGCTCAACAAAAAATCTTATCCTGCTGACACCAAGCTGGGTCCAAATCCTCTCTAGAAGTTAACAGCTCCCACTGCTTTGCAGGACAGGGAGCAAAGACATAGCTCTTTCATGCAGAAAAGGTGCATGGGACAAAATCGAAGGCACCATTTATTTTTTTATACTCCCAACCTTTCACGTTTGACTATGGAGCCAGTTTAAATCACTGTGCCCTCACTAGCTGGGATGGACTTCATGCTGATCCCTGTCAGAAGGGCACAAGTTATTTTAGCTACACTTTCCTAACATAAGGGCTGAGGCTCTGGGAATCTGGTCTGGGCTGAGATATTCATGTACCAAGGAGGAAAAGGGAAGCGCACATTGTGGAATTTAAGTGGGAGATAGAAGACAAGTAAACAAACAAGGAGCTGATCTGATTATGCAGTCGAATTTATCATGGACAATAAAGAAATTGCCTTTAAATGTAAGGGTTTGGATAAATGAATACTCCTAGCCAGTGAATAAAATGTATTCAATTAACTAAAAACCTTGTGCACTTCTGAACTGAAGTGGAATCGACTGTAATTGATTTATTTGAAACCAGAGGTTAAGGACTGAATTAGCTAAGTACAACTGGGTATTTCAAGCCACTGACTTCTCAAATGTCAAATCTCTTCTATTTTAAATATTATTTCAGCTGCGGGGCATTGCTGTCCTGATGGCTGTTCCACCAGTTAAATCTCAAATTATATTAATATTTGATTTTTGGAGGGTGGGGTAAAATACGGTACAAAGAGGAGGGCTGTCCTTGTTCACGGTGAAAGAGCACCAAGCTGTATTTTGGTTCACATGTAGGAATTAGCTCAGCGTGGCAGCAACGCTCTAACATTCAGCCACCACTCACCCCCGCTTCAACTGATCTGGAGCAGGGGAAAATAACAACAGATTTTTGTTTAGTGTATAAAGGCATGACCTAGAATTTCACCGCTGCACCTCGATCACAACGTTAAAAATGCATCCAAAGAATGCTGAAGTAATTAGCACATTTTAGTAACTGCACAATGGTCACAGCAGAAGAGGCTGAACCGAACCTAGTCTGATTTTCATTATCGCCTGTAAAATCCTTCCTTAGAAATAATAGTAATAAAGAAATCTATGCAAGGTCATTTCATTTCTGGTTTTTGGTGATTTGCTAATCCAGCAGCAGAATACCTAATATGCGCTCTCCTAGCATGAAGTAGCTAATTATATGTTTAAAACATTATTTATTATGACCTTATAATGTTCTAGCATAAGACTGCTTTATACATTGACCAGTATAAAACGATTATATTGGGTACAGGTTTCAAAAAGTAACAAGCATCTGTAAATCCAGATATGAATGAATGGTATTTAATAAGATTGTTTTCGTTTAAAAATGAGTATTTATGTGTTGCCGTAGAAAGAGCAGCAATGTATTGCTGTTTATGAATGCTATTGTGCCTGAGGTTAGGATCCCACACACAATCTGAGATGCAGCCAAGAAAAACAGCCCTGATAGACAATGCTTCACTTCACCTGCTACAGTACTGTGCATTTCATTTACGTCAAGAATATGTACAGTTAGGGTTCATTCACCTCATTATTTTGTTACATCTACTTTACGGTTAACCAGTCTCTCTTGGAAATAATAAATAACTGTTTTTAAAACAATTGCAGCTTTGCATTCAAAAGATCCACTTTCAATTTATCGAAAAAAATATTCACCATTTTTATAAACTAGCTGGCTCACGAAAATAGAATTTAGACTCCACCAACTCTCTTTCTGCTTGGCAAGATTGATTTTACACTGCCTTCCATAAGTAGATTACCAAAGCAAAATGAAACATCTTGGGCTTTATCTAATGCTTTGCTTCACCAGCTCTACCAAACGTCAAAATATATGAGTAAATGTTAATTCTCTGTGCAGCTTTATTGTAAACACCTCCCTCCTAACCTTCTCCATTTCTGCCTGAGCAAAAAAGGAAAAAAGGGAGAGAGAGAGAGACAGGGAGGGAAGGAAAGAGAAAAATCAGCCTCCACTACTAGAACCATCAACACTTAAAGGAGACCCTCTCTTTAAAATGCCTTTACATTCTAAACTGTATTAAGTCTCCCTTCCTATGATATAACATAATCCAGCCTGATCCTGACTTCACCTACCCCCGGGCCAAAGAAAATAGATTCAAAATCTGAATTCTCACATGTTTTTATAGACCATCTTCAAGACACACACTCCATTTTTTTAAAGAGAACTTCCCTGTTTCACAACTGGTTTCCACAAGAACCTCAAGATAAAAATTTCAGTTCCTTACAAACTGACACAGCCATCTCAAAATGTCAGTCTGTGCATTCCACTAAAACACGAACCATCAATCAGAAATAATCTGTCTCCTGCAAGATTTCACTAAAGTTCACAACCGTGAGATGATTTTGTTGGCATCAACTACGGAGCTTTTCTTTTTTTTCTTGAGGGGGAGGGAGCACCCAGCTCTGATTTATCAGTATAATTTTTTTTTAATAGCAATAATTTTCAGTATTTTCTCAATGATTCTTTTTAAAATGTCCTTCTTGAGATGTGTTTTTTAATCTCTGCTCTCCGTTAGGACAACTACATGTACAAAATTTTATAGGCTTATAATTCTGTATGCTATATATAAACATAAATAAAAACCTAGAGGTCAACATAAATAAAATAAAACTTTTATTTTTTAAATAAAATTATGTTTTGGTTAAAGAAAAGATAGTGTGTCATTTTTGTTAGTAGTACAGACAATTTTTTATCCAAAAGAATACATTGTGCTTTATTGTGTCATTTGTCTGAATACAGACTCAGTGGAATATCTAAATGATACCCTGCTCTGAACTCCAAGTTGAAAGTAAGTTTTTATTATACTTGAGGGAAACAATGGGTTCAGCTGCTTATTGCAAGGAGCAATTGTCAAGGGAGAGTTAAACTCAATTACTGTAACCATACTGAATAAAAAATACTGCCAAGAACAAAAATACGCCTGGGTAAAGACAGCTACTGAATAAAAAAATCGACATAAAGCGTATCAAATATTTATTTATCTGGGCAACAAAGGACTATGATACATTGATAGGCATGGAAACTACTGCCGGCACAACTCAATACAACACAACTATAACTGCTTCCAATATGGCCAGTGGAAATACAGGATACCAGGTGGTCCCGAATGTTTGAAGTTCTTTGGGAAAAAAAAAAAAAAAGAAGAAGGAAAAAAGAGAAAAATAAAAACAAAAGAAAGGGAGAAAAAAAAAGAGGGGGGAAAAAAAGGAAAGTAAAGCTAAATCTTGTTTTAAAAGACAGTATTAATTTATTGCTCTGTTGGTGCTTTTGGGAGAAGGACAGTGGATGAAAATAACTTTTTTCATTTTCCACAACACATAAGGGTTGTAAAACCACTAACATGTTTAAAAACCTTGCCAGGGTCCAACATCACTTTATTTTATCTTCAATGAGAAACTAAATGTCATACTAATTATATATAAAAATTAATGGTTTTTTATTTGTTCAGCTGCTTCATTGTCGCTTTTAACATGCTACAATAGGGCTAAAAATGATGAATCCCAGAGAAAAACCCCCAAAAAACCTCTGATATCTAAATAAGTACCATGAACCACATGATGAACTAAGAGGGGAAGATTTAAAACCCACTAAACAAGAGGTAAACGAGATCACCAGATAAATAAAAAAGGCTTAAAACAGACTCACCATATTTACAATTCCCATTAAATTACACATAAATAAATATATACATACATGAACACTGATTCCCTTATATAATAACTGTGAATCGTGTTGCAATAGAAAGTTCAAGTTGGTCGCTTTACCTTGGACAGGAAAAAAAGTTCTACAACTGAAGATATGACATGGAACTGCTTGTGTTTTGTGTTCAAGTTTATTCACAATACTGATAAAATGTCATCAGTCCTCTTTGCCTTTTGTCTGTCTGCTGTTGCTGTTGTACTTTTTCACTTTTTTTTTCATTTTTAGTATGGCTACAATCTTAACTGAAGTTTATGTAAGGGAAGGTGGTGATTCAGTCCGGTGAAGCTCATAGAATTTTAAAGTATTATTTCTTTCTTTTTGTTTGTTTTTTTTTTTTTTAATTTTTAATATATTTTTAGAAAAAAAAAGTCCTTTTTTGTTTTATTTTTGTTGGGTTTTTTTTCTCCTTTTGTTTTATTTAAAAAAAAGTTCACAAACTCAAGACAGAACTTTTTTTCTTTGCTGGCTCCGTCCCCCTGTTCTGTTCTCTTAGGCTCCAAACTGGGGTAAAACGATGGTGGCAGTGGGAAGAGGGGGGAATTTAAGCAGGAGCAAATGGAAATGTGGATGCTGGGAAGGGGTGTGGAGAGAGGGCAGAGCAGTCCTGCAGAGTCAGAGAACAGGACTGGCAGAAGGACGCTCATTCTGTTGCTGTAGCCTGGGGTGCCGGGGAGAGGGAGGAGGGAGATGAATGGATCGATGGGCTATGAGGGGGAAGGGAGAGGAGCGTGTGTGGGGGGGATCCTCACTTTCGGTGCTTCTCCTCTTTGTCGCCGCTTTTGGTGCTGTTGTCTGTGTGGCTGTTGGGGTTGTTGCTGAGGTACATTTTGTCCATGGCCTTGAGCGCCTCGGTGAGATAGTTCTGCAGGGCGGTGACGGCAGCACACACCGCCGGGCTCCCAAAGCCGTGCGAGATGAGGTTGAAGTGGGTCAGGCAGCTCTGGATGCCCGGCTCCAAAATGGGGTTGGGCCGCGAGTTCCCCAGGGGAGATCGGTCCTGAGCCAGCAGGTCGGTGAACTCTTTACAGATCTGTCTGTAGCACAAATGGAGCAGAGAGAACAGGGAGGGAGGGAGGGAAGGGAAGAGAGTGGGAGAGAAATGAACCATCACTGGCGGCAGCAAAGCCCGTGCATTCTCCCTGCTAGATTGCACAAGCCCCTGGATCAAGGGGGCTCCTGCTCCTGAGCACACATACTCTTTCTCCCTCTCCTCTCCATCCTTCCCCAATTCTCACACTTTCCCAGCACACACAAACCTCTTCCCTTCACCTTGCATGCACACACGACAGCACACCAGACACCACAACCCAGCCCCATCCAACAGGAACATGGAGACACATGCCTCTTGCCCCACCGCTCTCTGTATCTCAGCCCCCAACACTCTCCACAAACACACAACCCTGCCCAGCTGGGCTTTGGAGAACAGACACAGTTTAAAGTTCCTGAGCAGGCTCAATAGGCAGGCTATGATATTCCAAAGGTAAGCTAAGGGATTTATCCATATCTTAGAAGATTCCTTTTTTGGGGGGAACCAGAGAGAGATATGGGCCTCTTCCTTCACAAGGCAAAAACACACACCTGTGTGTCAGGAAGAATGAGTGAGGGCAGATCCGGCAACTGAGGATTTAAATTGGGGTATTCTGAAACATTTATATATGTAAATCTCTTTCTCCAAATCCAAAGGGACCTTTCCACAGAGGGGAAGGCTGACGCTAACCAGCGCCTGGAAACTTCCTTCCAGGGAGGTGAGAAGGGAGGCTACGAGGGCATGGTGCAGAAGATAGGTTATATCACCCACTCACTGCACAAATGGTTGCAGAAATAACACACCTTACAGCAAGAGAGCTCAGAGGCGTGTGGAAACAGTTTGTATTCTAAAACCCACGTTAATGTCTTCCAGCCATAAAGCAGCTCCCATCTCCTGCTTGTGTCCTCTGGCACTGTGCCCTTTGGTGACACCTCCGTTGGTAATTAAGGGCTACTAAACAACCCTTTTAATTTCCAGCAAACATACCAAAACAATAATTTTCTTTTCACACACCACCTGGAAGTCTAGGCAGCCCCACCAACAATAAACTCTGCTAGCATTTTAACTGCATACAGATTGTAATTTAAAATATATTTTTAATATCCCTGTATTAGCTAAGTAACAGAGCTGCTTAGGCAGGAAGAACCATTCCCGATTTTAATGAACTGAAATCGGTTTAATGTGCCAGTTTTATTTTACTGTCAATGGGAACACTTCCCCTTCAACTTAAATTGATAAGCTAAGTGAATAGGCCCAGAAGATGTTTTGCTTTGAAGAATTACTGCTTTTTCTGTAACTAACCATCCACTCTCAATTTTCACAATTCACATCCAAGGTAATCTGCACAAACTGATTTGGGGGAGACCAAGCTGGTCTGTAGAGTTCTCCTACACCAGGAGGGCCAACACACACACTCACAACCTACAAAGCCATCAGCCACTGGTAATGCAGCAAACAGACATCTTCACAAATAAAAGTCCCAAACTCGAGTTTGTCCCCCTCCCTTATTTCAAAGCAACATGCCAGAAAGTTAAATGTCTTACTTTGTAGCTAGAAGCATGTTTTTTCTTGTGACTTGCTCATTTGGATCGGAATGTTGTCGGTTGAGAAATTCAGCTACTGCTTTGGCAGGAAATTCTGTCTCACAAACGTACCCAAAATCTCTAGCTAGATGTACTGCTTCTCCTAAATTGGGAGGCACGGGTGGGGATGGAAAGAAACACAGCTCATCAGTACACATCGAATAGAGGCAAAAATCCATTTGAAAAAAAATCAAAAAAACCCAATACATTCTACTTGAGCTTTTCTTCTCAAAAGCTTGGACGTTTTCTCTTTGAAAAAGTTAGGGCCAGAAATGTTAATTACATCTTATCTTGCAGTTTTCTTTGCTTCACTCGAAGGTAATGCAAATGCGTATTTTCATAACAATTGTTACGAGTGAAATCTCATATAAGAATTTTTAGAAGTTCACACTGACCAAGAGATACTTTTAGACAGGCGGGCTCCATTCACCTAGAATGTGTGCTTAGATTTACATCTCCATACCTACAGAGAGCCATTTATGTACATTTTATTCACAGCTATTTACTCTGAAAATGTGTTTGCCTCAGCCACATTTCTATATTCTTTTGCAATGCATCAATGATTAATATTGATCATAATTACTCCTAGAGCTCTTCTAAATAAAATGCATTAAACAGCTAAGTGTTTAAAATTTAACTTGATCGCATATAATTATATGTTCACCCCCAAACGATTAACCATGAGAATTTTAGGGTCATTCCACCGAGTCTGTCTGTTTTGTTGATTTTCAAATCTTTGGTTTTAATTTCCTGAACCAGTTGGTTTTTACTGCAGGGCTTCCTGCCATTAGCTCTAGCTCCGGAAGAACGCATGCGCCAATTAGAGCTTCAAAGCCTCAGTCCAGTGAGCTTGTTTCCATAAAATGGAGCGGATCATAAACAATAACAGTACTCTAGAAACTGCCTCATCGCTACGGGACTCAAAGCCCCAGCAATGTTTATACTATCATCTCCCCAAAATTAGCCACCATCACTAAGTTATCTGAAGATCAGACCTCTGGTTTTGTTTTTTTAAAAAATCATTCTTTTCAAAGCCATTGTACGTGAAAGCCAAACAGAACAATGGATTACCATAAAACCTTCTCCATATTCATTAACATCACAAATAATGTTAAGCGTCTACCAAATCTAGACTTTTTACAAGTTTTCCCCTCGTGATTTTTTTTTTACCACAGCGTGTCAATGCAATTGCAAAGCCTTTTCAGAAACATGAAGCCGCGGTAATTTTCATGCAGTATAAATATAGTTTGTTCACTAATCCTGATGTTTAAAAAAATGACGCCAGTCATCATCGCACAGCGCTTCTTTCCCCGTCTCTTTGAACATGAAACATTTCTCGCAGAACATGAAACGACAACAAAACAAATTCCCGCCTACACAACCAGACTTAAGCTGAACCTGGACAGCTCAGGCTGAGTTTAAAAGCACTTTACAAACCGAACCAGTCTAAAACACAGCCAAACTCTTAAGTAAGGGGAAAGGAGAGGGGTCTATCTGCAGGCCTCAGACATACTTTGTGTCAGCCAGCGTGACACAGCCACTGCTTCAAAACTAAATGACTGCAAACTCTTGAGCTTCCCACCTCCCCATACAGACAGCATAGGACATCCCAAGGCATTAAAGCAAGTTGCACCTTTTCCAGCCAAAGCAGAGGAGAATGATATAGCCAAGGGAACATGTGTTCTGAAAATGAGAACCAAAAGGGAGTGGGGGCTGGCAGTGGTGCAACTTTGAGGCTTTCAGGACACCATTAATTCATGGCTGAGGTCAAGGATTCCCAAATTAATTCAGGAAGTAATGGTCACGCATTTCTCAAATGCAGATGTCAGAAAAGTTAAATGATTTACTGTTATGTGGCTGCGGGCTGGGAGGGAGAACAAACTTAAAAGTAGCTGCAGCTTCTGACATTTACAATTGCTTGGTTGTCCACCTGTGGCAGAAGAACAGCAGTGAAGTATTAGAGGCTCTGCTGCCCCTAACTTTCAACTCGATACTCATGGGTCTCTTATGGGGCTCATAAGCCCACAATCCCCCCTCACAGGGATCCTTCCCATGCTGCTCTCAATGAGATCTCCTTACCCCACACAGGGATTACTCATTTGAATGAGCGAGCAAGATGGGGCCCTGAAAACATCTAGCTCGGAAACTTAAAAGCAGATAAATAATAGAACGCTTTGCTGAGTCTGCAGGACTCGCACAAACCCGTTTTAGGTTATAAAAAAAAGCAAAGGCACACAATTAGCCTGATCTTCTCTTAAGACACAGAAAATAACGCCCTTCCAAATGCCAATGAGCAGCACCAACTCTGGGAAAGAAGAAAGAAAACCCGAATGACCCAAGAGCAAGTCTTCTCCCATTTGGCAAAAGCAACAGGCACATTTTCCAAACGAGCCCTCCCAGCTCTTTGAGTCACTTACCCTCCACGAGCGATGTGAGCAAGGTAACATTAGCAGCTTTACGCCTCCCGGCTGGCAGGTTTAGTCCTATTTTGTCCAGTTTCTCCCTCAGAGATCTCCCTCCGTTTTTAGACTTTGCCCTGCTCCACAGAGAAAGGCAATGAGAAATGGGGCTCGGAGGAACACCTGCTCCTACTTTGGCTCCCACCCACAACTTCCCCCAACACATCTTTTCCAGGGAAGGGAATAAAGGGTTTAGGCACAAGGGATGGGATACATGGCTGTGGGAGGTTCAAGACCAACTGTTGCTGAAAGCTGAATCCCGCATATAGGAGTGGTGCTTTGGATGTTTCCACATCTAGAGGACAGCGGCCCTTGCTAAGGTCTAGATCAGCCTCAGAGGTGATATGGCCTAGATCAGCCTCAGAGGTGTCTCCCTGACCTCCCAAGGTGCCATGGACACGGGGGCAGCTTCTCCCCAGGCATGAAGGGAGGAGGTCAATTTGCTGGGCCGGCAGCCCCAGAGCATCACTGCCCTCACACCAAACTCCACATGGCCCATCTGTGGCTTCGGAGCAGAGGCTGCAGAGATGGGAGCTGCCTTAATTAATCCTGGATGTTGTTCCCTGCCTAGGCACTGCCTAATTGCCTGGGTGAGGCCATCATGGGGGGGAGCCCATGGCAGGGTGCCCACCACTAAGCCGGTCCTGGGGCTGTGAGTGAGTGAGTGAATGTGTCCCCGTGGGGGTGTTCACGGCCACGAGAGGGGCAGGGACACGCAGGGCCCCCAGGGCGGGGGCCGCGCCGGGCCGCGCGTTGCCATGGCGACAGCACCCGGGCCCCCTCCCGCCGCCCGGCCGCGCTGCCCCGCCACGCCCCGCGTGGGCGCTCGTCCTCCTCCTTCCCTGCCTCCATCCCTCCCTCCCTGCCTCCCTCCCTGCCTGCCTGCCTCCCGCCCGCACGGCGCGGCCCGGCATCCCGCCTCCCGCGTCCCCCCGCCCCTCACCTCCGGAGCACTCCGCCCAGCAGGGAGGCGTTGAGGCACTCGGGCGGCGACAGGCGTCTCTGCACTTCCGCCACCGTGACCTTGTACTTGGAGGTGGAGCTGAGCAGCGAGAGGCGGCCCGGCACCGAGCAGAAGACCTCGTTGGGGTTCACCACCCCGCCGAAGAGCGCGTCCTTGTTGATGGGGATGGAGGAGACGGCGTTGTTGTTAGACTTGGAGAGGGACACGGGGCCTGCAGGGAGGGAGGAGCAGGGAGGTGAGGGTGAGGAGCGGGCGGGGAGCCGGGGAGGGAGGGGGAAGCACCCGAGCCGCTCTCCGCGGCCAGCCCCGGCCCGCACCGCCTGCGGGGCAGCGGGGACGCAGCGGGGGCACCCCTTCCCTTTCCCGCCGGGAGGCGCAGGGAGAGAGCCGGACATCCCTCGACCCGCAGCGGGGAGAGCGAGAAGACCCCGCAGCGGCCCCCGCAGCCCCTGCCGGCGCCGAGGCCGCGGGGCGCCGCACGTCGGTGCCGCCGTGAGGGGCGGGCAGGGCCCGGGCAGCGGCGCGGCCGGCAGGGTGTGCGGCAACCCCGGGGCCCCGCCAGCGCACAAATCTGGACCGGGAAAACCCGTAACGCGGCGGAGGAACGGCACCCCAAAATACAGCGTGGTGCCTGCCCGGCGGGGAGGTGCCGGGCCGGACCGCCGTGCGGTGCCTCGGTCCCGGCCGCCTTCCCTTCTCCTGTGCCTCAGCCCGCTCCGCTTGGCGGGCGCAGCCCAACCAAGCGGGGGGCTCTCTCCGTTTTGGATAGATCACTTGTGACATTAATAGCTCTGGGAAGGCTAATAGATACAACAGGAGTTAAACGAACTCTTGAGATTACTAATAAAAGAGCCAATTATCATGTCGACTTGGAAAGAGCATCTCTTAAGATTTATCCCTTGCACATCTAATTTGACGTGACAAAGGCTTTACAGGCGGGGGGTGGGGGGTGTATGAAACTTCAGGTTCGCTGGCTGTACAGCAATTAGGGTTAGAGAGGAGAATGCCTCTGCTCAGCACCTCTCTCCTGTGGTGGCCTGGGTACCCGAATTCCCGGTGGCCGCGCAGCCACAGCACCCCTCAGAGCAGGCAGGAGATAGCTGCACCTTCCACCCTGCCACTTTTACTCCAACAGCAGTTCTCACTACACAGCATCCAAACACAAAACCCATCACTTTCCACCAAGAACCTGCTTTGCAAAATGCCCTGTGCCAACCTTTCCCAAATCCTTCGGTTGTCCAAAGAACGACGGGAAATGAAAATCGAGTGAAAATTTGCAATAAATATTTAGCACGATTGGGTACCAGCTTCCAAGCAATTCAATTCAATTCCAAGTGAAGCAAGCGCACAAAGCCAACGAAAACCAAACCACCCTAACCACCGACAGACATCAGTTTCCAGAAACTCGCCCCTTGTTCTCCACCAATCCACCTCATCACCGGCGTGATTTAAATAAGAAAACCCGAAGGAGGGGGAACAACGATTTCACATTCACAGCTCCAGTTTACCAACAACGATTCAAGCCCTCCCGTCAGCCAGATGCATGGGGCAGACCATGAAACCCAATTGTTCGCTAATGCACTAAAAGACCGGCTCGGATTTTCTAGATCATCTGCTAACATTTTTCCTCGTTAACGACAATAATAATTAAAATACCCGGCAAACGTGGCCATTTAGGAGGGCGGATTTCAACCCACATCGCCCGTTTTGCTTTGCTCCCAGCCTGTCTCGGCCAGCAGTACATGCCAGAGGAAGGAGCCCGGGGCCGGGGGGCTGGAGGGGAGAGGGGGGAGGCCGGGTAAGTCCTCCCTGCGAGCAGTCCCCAGCCTGTGACGACATGTTTGGTATGCGCAAGGAAGCAGCTTACCTTTCTTAATTACAGTTTGATCTGGGATGTTAATACCGGGGTCTTCTACGTGCTGCAACAAAAGGAACAGGCAGGGATGTCAGTGCACAGCCACAACAAAAGGCAGGGAGGGCCGGGGTGGGATGGGGTGAAGGAGAAGTTTTGTGCTCCCCCCATTCCTGGGCACGTTGTGGGGAGGGAAACAACAGATCCTCCACGGAAAGGGGTGGTGGGGGGAGAAGGGAGGAAGGAGATTTGAAGGAGGTTTCCTTTATCGAGAGGAATCCTGCATCCCTCCCAGCTCTTCCCCCGATCCCCAAGAAAAATATAATAAATCACTCACACACCCCCGGGGCCCGAGTGGCCTTAAGCTTCTGAGGGCTCCCTCCTCCCGTCCCGTCCCTTCCCTCCTGCCCGGGAAGCAGCCCCGGGCCGGCCCAGCCCTTCCCCGCCGCTGCTCTCCCGCGCCCGCGGGAGGGAAAGCACAAAGGAGCGCGGAGCACCCCCGGGCTCCCCACTATTGTCCCCTCGCAGGTTCCGCGGCCGCGGCTACAGCTGGGGTTCGCGCGGCCGAGTCACGACGTGATTAGAAAGTCAAATGAAATCATGTTTTCTAATTCCAAAAACTGACAGGCAATATAATGTCTGGCTGTGTTTACAAATTAACACCAGTGCTGCTGAGATAGAAGATTTCGCAATCGTTACAAAACCCAGGCATTACCATTTAAAAAACTATTACTTCCTTCTCTAGTCTTTGTCCAACAATAATACTGATTCTAACATTTTCCATTCTGTCTTGGATTTATGCTCCTGTTAATTGTGCCTGATCTCAATGATTCCGGGTGGATGGTACTAAGTTGCTTTATTACAGGTTTTATTATACTCAATGCTCTCATTTGTAACTTGCCTAAAGTGCTTCTGGATTTAAGTATAATTAAATTGAGAAATGTTCAGAAATTACTACTGCTGCAGTTCTTGTGTTTTAACTATATGGGGAAATATGATCCCTTTATGCATGCACCCTAAACCCATAAAGTAAATGTAGTGTGGCATAATACTTTTATTTGTGTTATTTCTACACATATTCTGTACAGGGAGGACTGTTAAGTTTAAAATCCCACAGAGATATTTATGATTAAATAATTTTCACCATCTACTTGACTTTCTTAAATATTTAGCAGTCGTTTTTATTAAAGGTTAACTGTTGCAGCAACGGGAAAATTCAAAAATTATCCTCCCAACTCAGATTTCTGTAACGGATTTTTTTTTTTTTAACCAGATAAAATACACCTAAAAGATGCACCCTCTTATTTTATACTCTCCTTCGTGAAGCCTGCTGATTCAGCCTTACAGAGAAAAAAAAATGGCCAGACTGGCTCAAGGATTTAAACCAGATGGCATTTGGTTTTCACGAAGTATAGCAATGCTATTAATTCATAGATCTGAAGAGGAGGCTTCCTGAATCAGCCCACTGCCATGAAGCACAACTGAGGAGAGGGAGAATTCAAGAGAACATTTTAGGTCATGTTTTCCTACAGCAATCAGGGGCTTGCAGTCAACAAATTAGTTTATTCATACGATTGCCTCCATGTTATTTTATATCAAGTTTAAAGAGTCGACCTGCTTTTAACGGATCCAAATTGCTTACTAAATCCTCCACTTTGGAAAACGTATGCGTTTATTGCAAAACTGCTAAACACAACCAGCAATTTTCTGTGGCTAATTTAGCCAGATGAGGGCTGTAATAAATTCACTATTTTCTCCGAGTATAATTTACAAAAGATTTCAAAATGACCCCCAAAAATAGGTAAGTTCATCTGAACATTATCCTTGCAACACGAAACTGTACTCATTAAACTGTCAGCGAATATATTGTTGTAATATTTGATCCCGTAATTTGGGATGGCATTTCAGCAAAAATCACATCCAGATACCACAGGTCCCTCCTCCTTTTTCCTCCTGCAAGTCGAGTAGCTTCAGTCCCTCAGCATGAGCTCTGTGGGTTTTAATAAATTTATTGCCGTGTTCTAATTCCATTTTCAGGGAGAAACCCAGAAAGATGAACTTTGATCACGACCTATCATGTTGCATAAGGCCACTTTCCTAACTGAACAATAGCCCTGGCTTGCTTTGTAAGTAGCCTGTGCACTAATGTCATGCTTAATTAGAAATCATTTTTAAGGACTGTACTCATCGATAATAGAATTAGGTCCCCCAAATAATGCATCCTCCAATAGGCTCCCAAGATTTGATTTAATATAGGGTGTAGCAGGTCTGACTCAAATTCGATAACCTATAGGTAATGATTTATGAGGTCATCCCTTAGCACCGCTACTAAAAGAAGGCGGCAGCATTTCAGTATACCTCTTCCCTGATTTGTCAATTAATTCCTTTAGAGAAGAGGATCTGCCCATACCCTCTTACAACTTTGGATGTGGTTATTCCATATGCCAGTCCTGTAATCATAGGAAACCAATTTTTCCTTCTTAGGCCACTTTCACCTAGTTCCCCACCCCCCCACCCCCCCTTTACATTTGTGAGATCTCGTTAAATGTCCTCACAGGCATTTCAGACTCGTGTCTTTCCCAAGGCAGTAAGAAATCCCCAAATGCACGGCCCTGTGGTGATATTATATATTCTTCCAATCGTAACAGCTTATTGTCATTGAGAAGGAAAGATATTGTTAACGATGACAGTAATTTGATTTATTTATATTTTAGTGGGCAAGTTAGCGGGGAGACGCCACTCAGGGACGAGCTGCGAGAACCTTTTGTTCTAGGTGGGGGCTTCACTTTTCCCTGGGGGACAGGAGGGGGGGAGTTCTCTTCTTCCCTTCCTCTTTTTTTTTCGGGGAGGGGGGGTTCCCCTCGCTCCCTCCCTCTCCCCCCCGACGTTGAGCTCCCGCGGTAAAAGGGACGAGTGGGCCCCGGGGCGACTCCTTGGCTTACCGGCACGTCCTCGATGGCGTGGGGGATGGAGTGGAGGGGCAGGTCGGCCAGCCCCGAGCCCAGCCCGTGCGGGGCGTGCAGCAGGTCGTCGTGCCGCCGGTAGTCCCTGCGCGGGTCGAGCCCCGAGAGCTGGTGGGGCAAACCCCGGTGCGTGTGGAGCAGCCCCGTCTCCTGGCTCTGCCTCTGTCCCGGCCATCCTGGGTGCTGGGGCTGCGGCTGGGCATGGAGGGGGTTGAGGCTGTACGGGTCGTTCACGTGGGAGTAGGGGTCCTGAGACTGGGGGTAGATGGGCTGGTAAGGGGGGGGGAAGTAAGGGGGCTGGAAGTCGGCGTTGGGGGTGTGGGAGAGCGGTGGGGCGCTGGTGTAGGGAGACTGACCCACGGTCCCCAACTGGGGTAACCGGGCTGTCCCGTTGCTGGTACTGTCGTGGCGCTCCTGAGATGGGGAGCGGGAGCACAGGAGGGGGAGGAGGGGGAGGGGAAAGGAGAAAAGAAAAACAAAGATAATATCAAACTGATTTTCCTCAAAATCGCATTGAAAATTTCATCTACAGGGCAATGAGGGGCAAATCATCGTCTCCGAGGCGGAGAAAAGCAGATTTGGAGATCTCTCTGCCTCTGATTTCCCTTCCCAAATAATTAAGAGGCAGTCTCGCTTTTTAAAAAACCAATAATAACGGCAATAATGATAAGAGCAATAATAGCAATAATTACAACAGGACACCTTATAATAATTAATAAAACATTGCGGCGATACAGCGTGGAATCACAACAGATCGTGCCCCGGCATTTCAGGAGCAGGTATTTCCCACAAATAAAAAGAATAATTCACAAGCGAGCATTATTGAAATAATAATTCTGCCACAACCCAAAATCCTTTCTCTGGCCATTAACGGAGCCGAGATAAATACTGTCGCTGACATTACCGATCGCGTCCCAAGAAAACCCTGGAAAATCCAAGCCCACTGCCATTTTGTTACCAGAAAACGCCGAAATAGGCTCCAAACAAAACGGTAGCTACCCCTCAGAGTTTCACAAATGTTTCGGGGGGAAAGCACTGCCATGGTCCCCCACCTACGGGGAGAGCCGAGCCCCGGGTGCCCGGCCGAAGCCCGGGCTCGCCAGCGTGCGATTCGGGAGCGGAGCGGGCAGCGGCGGCCCGGCCGCCGGGGAAGCGCAGGAATGCGGCGGGCAGCCGCGGGAAGCGCCGCCGCCCCGACGGGCGAGCGGCACCGAAAGGAGCCCGGGAGCTTGGGCACGGCTCTGCCGGCTCTCGAGAGCGGGCAGATGAGCCCGCATGAACGTCTGGGGCAAAAGGAATGGCCTCCACGGAGGAGGATTCGAAGGAAAGAACTACGGTTCCGAAACAGAGAAACGAGAAAGCGAAAATACTACGTTTGCAGGTGGCAAGGTTAAGGAATCGAAGCGGTAAGGTCCAAGCAAAGCCTTTTGCCGTTCGCTCGAAGCAGACCAAAAAAAAAAAAGGGGGGGGGAGGGGGAGGGAAGAAAAGAAAAATAAAGAGAGAAGGGGAAAACGTAAACCACCGAATTTATAAAAATGCAGGAAAGGAAAAAAAAAAGCCCTCTCCGGAAAGCTGGGTGCGAAACCCCCACTGCCACCGCCGACAACAATAGCAACACCCAGCGCGCACCGAACCCCTCCGAGAGAAACGTGAAGCAACTCACCATAGCCGAAAAACTGTGCACTAACATCTGCGAAGAGTCGGGGGTTACAAGTCAAGGCAGAAAAAAAAAAACAACAAAAAGGCAGAGGAAAGGGACCGGCGAAGCGCGCAGCCCCCGGCGGAGCCCCGCGGGTGCGGGCGCGGGCGGCGGGACCGGGGCGCCGGGGCTGCTCCTGCACCGCGGGCGCGCCACGATAATCCATCAGAACTTGCACCGATCTCTGCTGCCCTTCATCGGGTGTTCCCAAGGCGAGCTCTCTATCCTGGCGCGGTGTGAGGAGTCAAAGTTGGTTGCTTTTTTTCTTTTTTTTTTTTTTTGTTTTGTTTTGTTTTTTTTTTTTTTTTTTGGGGGTTTTTTTTTTTTTTTTTTTTTGGCGGTTTTTTCCTTTTTTTTTTTCTTTAGCGTGTGTGTGTTTGTTTCTTAATCCGTTTTTTTTTTCCTCTGACTCTTTCTTTTTCTCCTTTGACTTAGCTGCTGCTTCACTTGAGCTCCTAATAACAGATCTGCTGCCTTCCTGGAGACTCCTAATAGCAGATATTCATGACTATTAATATTACACGAACACTTAATAAGGGAAGAATGGCTGGAAATCGAGCGTGAAGCGAGAAGGCAACTCAAGGCAGAGCCTGTTCTAAATGACGTCCATTGAATGAAGAATCAGTGTATCTAATCAGAGATGGGGGAGAGGGAGAGGGAGAGAGAGACAAAAAGGGAGAGAGAGGGAGCGGGAGAGAGAGAGGGGGCACATGCTGCTGCGTCTGACGAATCACAGGAAAGGGGCAACATTTTAAAAGGTTGCAGGGCATGCAAAAGTGAAAGAGAAAGAGATCCGGAGAGAGGGAGAGGGTGGGAGCCAGGAGGGGGGTGCAGAAAG